CAAATTTTAAATATAATTTATATACTCAAATATAATATTTATTTTTATATAATTTAATATAAATATAAATTATATATAATAAATTTAAAATATAATTTATTTGTTTAAAATAAATTATTTAAATTTTAAATATAATTTATGTACTTAAAAATAATATTTATTTGAATATATAATTTATTAAAAATTTAAGTTATATAAAAAAGTAAATTATATTCACACCTTTATAATTTTTTAAAATTATACCTTTTCATAATTTAGACTTATAATAAAATATTTTAAAAATTAAACAAATGTTATGACCTTTATTGGCTTTAAAACTGATGTCATGTGACTTGGCTACGATTTTTAATGAATTTTTCTCTCTAAAACATCCTCAATTCCTTCAATTACTTCACCCGCGTCTCCTTCTCCTTTGCTTCTCTCACCAATGGTTCCATCGTCTTCCTCCTCTCCAATGGTTATCATCCATGGTTATCTTCATTTCATTTTTTTGTAAATAATTACTACCTTCAAAAATTCTTCCATCGCCACCCACACCCTCACCTTCACGCATTTCCTCCCTGCCAATCGTTCCATCGTCCTCCTCTTATCCAATGATTCTCATCGGTAATTTTTTTTGAACAATATTTTATTAACTTTAAAAGTGTTAAAGTTAAAAATTTATTTTACTTTTTTTTTTTTTTTTTGTAAATAATTACTACCTTTAAAAGTTTTTCCATCGCCACCGGCACCTTTACCCCCACGTGCTTCCTCCTCACCAATTGTTCTCCTCTCCTCTAACGATTCTTATCATTAATTTTTTTTGGAGTAACATTTTATTAACTTCAAAGTGGTATAGTTATAATGAAACATCATTTCATTTTTCTACAGATAATTACTTCTTTCAAAAGTTTTTCCATCGAGTAATTCACGTACGAATTACAATAATTACACCTTCTTCCCCTGATCAATAGTATAGTAACACAACTTTTGGTTTGCAAGATGAATAGTTCAAAATATAGTACTCTTTTATTTAAGCAATTCACTCAAAATATAAAAATCGAGAAGGAAAATAGTGCAATTAAGTCCTAAATCGCCTCTTTTGAAACCTTATTATTGATTTGAATAAATTAACAGTCACAAATCACTGAAATCAGCTTCTATTATTATATTAATAGTTATCATACTATCTTGATAAAGACAAACACAACTACCATATGTTATATTATTGTAAGAGATGTATACGTAGGGTTTGGTGGCTGAAAAGTGAAAGCCCTGAAACGCTTTGGTGGCTTCCATGGTGCTTCACCTTGAAACTACATAATTCATGATTTGCAAGAGGAAGTGCGTGGGGGTGGGTGTGGATGGTGATGGTGCAATTAAGGAGGTGGGAAGTGTGGAGGGTGGAGAGGAAGTCGAGAAAGGCAAAGAAGAGGTCAATGAGGTGGAGAGTGCAGAATTTGGAGATGAAATTGAGAGATGCAAAGAAGAGGGAGAGACAGTTGGAGAAGATGAGTACATTTTAGAGATAGAAAAATTATTAAAAGTAATGAGCAATCACATGACATCATTTTTGGGGTGAGGAGAGAATGAGTAACATTTGTTCAATTTTTAAAAGGTCTTGCATATCTAAATTATGAAGAGGTATTGGTCACAATGTAAAAAAAAATACAAGAGATACTAAGTGTAATTTATTTTGTATATAATTAGTAAAGTCAAAATATTTTATGTTTTATGGGTATAACGGTAAGTAATGGATAATCATGTAATAAAAATAAAAATATTTATTGAATTTGTGTGAAAAGTTAGGATAAAGAAATCTTAAAAAGATGAAAATAAAAAAGCAGTTGAGGGAATAAGTATAACCCTTATCTATAGTTATAAATTAGTGGGTAAAAGATGCTCTATGTCTTCCTTTGAAGACACATACATTAATGAAAGTAGTGGTGGTTATTAAGAGATCCAAAGAAAAAACTAATATACTAAAACATATTTTTACCATTATTAATTATTATCATACAAATTTTTAAAGGATTAAAATTGCTAAAATAAAGAATTGTCTTTATATATATAGATATAAATATATATTTAACTTATACAATCTAAAATATTAGTTAATACACATATTAAAATATTAGTTTATAATTGAATTTCAAAAGTTTTTCTCTTCAAAGAAAATTTTAAAAGAAAATTACATCATTACAAATCACCATTTTTTTTATGATTTAAAGTCTCTATAAACTAATTTTAAGAATTCAATTAAAAAAAAATATAAGATAAGTAACTTGATTATAATTTTTTAAATTTATGAACTTATTTAAATTTGTAAATAATTCAATGATCTATTTATTAATTTAACCTTGTACAAATAACATTTAATAACTCACAAAGATGAATAAAAATAACTATTTTAATATTGTTTATAACTTATTTGATTTCACAAATCTCTCATGAACTAAGTTGTTGTCAACTACTATGTTAAAAGTCCAAGAAGGATAACAGCTAATTAAGTGTCTTTATTCCTATAAGCTAAAATTTAAGATTGGATATAATTATTATCGTATTTTAAATCTTTTTATATAAATTTAAGTATATCTTAAAAAATCTTCCACAATTATGAAAAGTAAGTACACAATCGTCAAGACATAAAATATGGACATTTGGTTTAACTCTTTTCTAGCATATTTTTCCTTAAAAGAAAGAGTTGGCCAGATAATTTTTAAAAAAGTTTAAAAAAATTAAGTTACTTATTTTTATAAAATAAATTTTGAAAAAAAAAGGTTTCTTGTTGATAAAACAAGTTGGAGGAAACTTTTTATAACTTAATGATATGTTTGGATAGAATAATTCAAGATGGTAAATCATTTTTTTAAAAGGAATTTAAATGTTTTATAGTTAAATGATTTGTTCAAATGATTTAAAAAGAAATTTAAATGACATCATTTGTAGAAATTTTGATTAACTAGTTTAGTAGAACTTGAAATTCTACCTAAATCTAGAGAATACTCTCATTTGCTCCTCAACACTCGCTCACTCCATACTCTCAATCACTTCATCTTGCTGTGAAGTGTGAATTAATGTGGAGCTCCAAGAAAAGGTGAAATACTTTTATTATTAGTAAAAATTACAAAATAATGCACATAAATATGAATTGATTTTATTTTGGATAACCATGTATTAACACAAAGTATCTATCATCGAAAATAGTGGCTAATCTCTGCTGGGGAAGGTGGGTATTCCCCTCTCAAAATAGTTTGTTTCATATCCAAAATTAGGATTCAAACCCTAGATAAATTGGTTAAGGGATACAAGCTACTATCATTTGTGCCAACCAATTTTTCCTTTTGTTTTGATATATATTTGTTTTTTTAAATTATTTTTAGTAGTAATTTATTTTATAATATATTTATATATAAAAATATTTAGGAGAAAATTATTGGAGGAAATAAAATTTTACAACATATTTATTGAAGGGAATTTTATTGGAGAGAAGTTTATTGAAGGAAATTATTAGAGGGAGGTTTTGGAGAGAAGAAGTTATCCTCTTTATATATACTATAGAATTAAAATATTTTTATATAAGTTTTTTATAACATCCCTTAGATTTGAAGTCTCAATGGCTCCACTCCACACAATTTCTCATTGGTTAGAATCCTTCGTGAATAACCTTTTTTGAGATGTTCATCCACTTTTTTAGGATCAATGACTAACCCCACAAACCAAGACTTTTTAATGTACCCAGTCCTTACTCACACTTTCTAGGAAACTTCCCAGAAAGTCACATATCCCTAAATTACTCCAATTTAAGCATGTTTAATTGTAGAGTTCTTACGGGATAAGCTATCGAAAAATAAATGTATCTTGTTGGTATAGGTAGTAGTAATTAGTTTCTTTAAACTATTCTAAACTATACAATCTCATACTTGTGTAATCTCTAAATTTCTCTCATTTCAATGTGTCAGGTTGATTCAAACCGGACAGTGTTATGTGTCATAATTGCATGTTTCGTGTGTACTCTAATGTGTGATTTGGTTTGTGTTGCAATATGTTTATTATTATGTGAAGTATCATCGTATGAAGTGTCGTGAAATGAAACCGCTGAGACGTCAAATCTAATTTCCTTTTATTTTGATATATTTATTTATTTTAATTATTTTTAGTAAAAAATTATTTTATAATATTGTAAAATTATAATAATGATTAGTTATTATTAAAATATTTTAATCCAATTTTTTCTTTTATTTTGATATATTTGTTTTGATATAATATATAAATGCTATATAATATCCATCTTTTTCATTTTATTTTAATATAATTGTTTGTTTTTAATTATTGTAGCTGTTTATTTTATAATATTATTTATATATAAAAATATTTAGGAGAAAATTATTGGAGGAAATAAATATTTACAACACATTTATTGAAGGAAATAAATATTTACAACACATATATTTGTTTGTTTTTAAATTTTTTTAGTAACATTTTATTTTATAATATTGTATATAAAAACATTTTAAGAGAAAATTATTGAAGAAAATAAATATTTATAACCAATTTATTGAAAAAAAAGTTTATTTGAAAAAATTATTGAAAAAAATTTATCGACAAGAATTGTTGGAACTTGGAAGGAAATTTTTGAGAAAAACGTTTATTCCCTTTATTTATACTATATTTACGTATCTTTGACAGTTTGTCTGACAAAGAAATAATGTTGAAAATGAAAGAAAGAAAAGTCTTTCTCAAGATGGTTTAAAACTTGACTTCTTAAAACCGAATTGAACTAAATCCCACTAACACAGCGAATCGACAGAAAGGAATTATGACAACCTAATCTGTACTAGCACTTGAAGCAGAAAGAGGTTTCGGATGTTCAACAATTTAAAAAATGCCTCTTATACTGTGCATCTGTGTCATTCACATTTCCCTCCTACCATTTAGGCATTTTTGGAATGTCCAGAGTCATAAACCACTAATGTGGAAGTGTGAAACTACAAAATTTCTGAAACTAATCTATGTAGTTAGCTTATTTGATTTCTTCTAGCACTGTTGGATTTTGAGTCAATTCGAACTGTTTTGGCTGACATACAGTGGCGCACATGGATTTTCTGACTGTAAGTTTGGACGGAAGAACTGCCTTGTACATGAACAACCAAAATCACTTCCTTGTCTCGGGTGTCTTCATTCCACCAGTTCTGTGGTATGCCATTTGCAGATTCTTCTGTGGTATGGAGATCTTCATGACGGACTGAAACCTCTACGTTTTGCTCAGGTTTGATTATGCCCGCAGCTGGTGAAACCTAATTTAAGGACATTTTAAAAATAAAATGATGGTCAATAGGTAAACTCCTGGCAGTTCAAATAAGTCAACGAATCCTAAAGACCAAGTCCTTCCGTTCAATGACAAAAATCCCTTGATTTGTGTTCCCCTCTCCTACTCTCAACAAACATGTCACATTAGATAAAGTAGAACTTCATATCTCCGAAAACAAGGCATACTCCGAGGGAAAAAGTAGTAAGCTTTTTAATTGTTGGCTACTATATCTCCAGCCAAAAGATTGTATGTTTAAGAAACATAAGTATCTGTCAATTATATTATACCATCAGAAACATAATTATCCGCCAATTATGTTAGTGTAATAAACTTTATTTAAACAATCACAAACAAAGATCAATAACAAAACAAATCCTATTTTTGTTTGAAAAGCTGTATTTAAATCCGAATGTCAAATTAATCTCAAGCAACTAAATGATTTATACTTTCCAAAAAAGCTCTTCATTTTATTGTGTGCTAAAATAAAACGGGGTAATAAATTAATTCAATCTGGTGCTGACTTTTATTTTCCCCTAGCAATTGAATTTAAAAGCGGAGAAGGTAGAGTTTTATTATTTAGCATATTAATGAATCTTTGAAACCCTAAACAAATTATAAAATAATATTGAAAACCAATAAACAATTTTCATTTGTAAAAACCTGCAATGAGTAATGGAAGAAAGTTTGGTGTCTTTGCTAAGTAATATGAATCAAAGTTATTTATTTATTTTTTTTTTACAGGAAGGTAGTTCATGAGAAGGGGCACAGGACTACATGGAGACCTTCCATAAGATCCCAATAGTTACACCAGGAAAATTTGATTCATTGAAAAGTATAACACTGTTTAACTTGATAATTGAGGAAGGATAAGCTCAAGAAGCATAAAACGAGACACTACATTCACAAGGGAAATAAAACTACTCTCTGCAATTTTAACAAAAGAGCCTTTATCTTTTCCATTTGCAGAAAATGCATCCTAATGTATGCTAACAATCATGTACGTGGATTTCAGGTTGAACATTCTAATATAAAACTGTATAGATATTAAATTCAGTTTTATAATAATTTTGATGTAAGAGTAATCTGTTCTGAAAACTGTTTACTTTTTTGTCCAAGGAGAGCTCATAATAGATCGTATAGGAAGAAGAGGAAAAAGGATGAGAGAATGGAGCGCATTATAGAGAATCAAACTCACATACTCACAATTAATGTCCTGCAACATAACTAACATAGCTGACTCAAGCAGACTGAAAATTGTTTACTTTAATTTAAAACAAGATATGTCACCCCAACTATTCACATGCAGTAGGATTTGCATCTCACAATTATTCCTTGCCAATTGTCAGAAAAAAAAAATGATGAATTAAGTAAAAGATACAGTACCTCAAGCCATCTAGGAAAGCCAAAGCCACCTCTTGGGCTATAATCAGGTGCCTGTCCATCACTCTTGATTATAGACTGGCCTTCACAAGTGATTTTATATATAGCCTTATCCTTTGTACTTCTGTTTGTAATAAGCAACAATGAAGTGTCCAGGTTTTGAAGGACTACACTGTTTGGGTTGACAGTGGCCTCTGGTACATAACATAAATCTTCAAGAATAGATCTGATTTTCTCATTTGTTGTCATAATTAGCCCAAACTCCTTTCTCCTTATTGATCTATCAACATGAGAAAATTTTACATTGAATTTACATCGGACAGGTTTGTGATCACTATCAGTCACATCCATGCAAGCATCATACCTGTTAAATGGTTTCAGTGATGACAAACTGTAGCAAATAGGAAAAACAGAAAGCAATGGTGACCATGTAACGTACTGTAAAATTGATGACACAACAGGGCAGTCTAAATTGCACTCGAAAACTGGAGCTGACCGAGTATCGCGGTATATTATTCTGTCACACCAAGCAGGAATTCGCTTTTTCTCTCCAGAATCATACCCTGATAAAATATATGACAGTTATTGCATCGTCATTTTTGTTACTAGCATTAGCACTGGAAACCAAGTAACACGACCACATTGAAACTGTTATGTTCATCGAGTTAGTAATTTTTAATCACTTAATGAGGAACCAAACTGAAATCAACATCTAGCAAATAGGCACCAAAAACAGCGCTTGGCATGTCATGTATTTACCTCCTAAACCTGGTTGGTGCCTCTCAAATTTATATGTTGGAGGAAATTTGATAAGTGCCTCTCGCATTCCCTGGAAAACTTTTCCAGCTTTCATCTCCGCCCTGAGTTGATCTTTTTCTCTAAGCCAATCAAAGCATCTTTGAGAAACAAAATCCCTAGCTTCATCATAAGATATACCAAAAAGGCGATAGTTGAAATCACCAAAAAATACCACCATATCTGCTTCAGATAAATCAGGTTTTGGTTCTTCAGAGCTGACACCCATAGCCTATGACACACACAATGAAGGCAATAAACTGTTATGAACTTATGATAAAGATATTGATGGAAAGGCAAGGAAATGGAGATAATCGAGAGCTGAGCAGTAAGCATATGACTCACATTGGTACCACGAAGCATATGAACAGCAGTCGAGACACCAGCTGTAACAGAGAGGACCAATGGCAAGCCAGAAGAGTAAAGTAGCCAAAATAAATATGTGGAGAAGGCAAGAGAGCAAGACAAGAACAGGTATGGTACCATACCAGCTGCAGTATTAAGTAGGTTGGACGATCGGGTGAACACCATATTTCGATAAATGTGATCAAAATCAGCATTTCGCCGATTAACTGCTTCCAAATGAGCAGCCAAGTGACAATTCACAAAGCACATTATCCTATCATACACTCTGATTCTCAAACCCACTCCTCCCTGCTTGATCAATTTTTGCCATGTAATAAGTGTTCATTTCAATGAAGAGAAAATAAAAAATCAACGTTCATAAGTGAAAAACGTTCATTAGCACAATCTTTTTCTTTAATCCCAATCTAGTTTTTGTACAAGTAATATCAATCTGACTTGCATACCAAATAGAATATGAAAGCTCTACAAAGTGGTAACTTATTGTTGCCAAAACAATTATTTAGCCAAAACTGTAAACATTCAATCCGGAATGGTGTAATAAACTGAAAAGGTAATGTATGATTGTTTCTTATGATCATTCTTTCCTCGTGTATTTTCTCTTCACCATTTCCTCCTGGTTAAAAATGTAATCAGAGTATCCTTAAACAGCAATCTAAAAATTATTTCACATTCACAATTGACTTTCAAAGATAACCAGAATAAACATGACAGAAAGTCAAGAAATAAATTTAGTAGAGAGAGAATTTTTAACCACTTGAGGTTACCCCCCTTGAACTTTATTTTAATAACTGACTCAGATCATAATGACTTATAAACTTTAACAGAATGATACTGCATTCCATTGGCATAATTAAAGCATCACATTCTTATCAAATAAGTATTGAGTAGTCAGGGGAACTGATACTAACCTTGTTACCAATTGCACGTCCAAAACCACACGGGACTGCCCCAGCATCAATGTCCCCAACATGAGTTCTAAGATTCTTTCTTACCCTAATTAGACATGTCAACTCATAATATAAGAATGGAAACAATATTAAAGATATATATCCAAAGAACATAACAAGGAGACCTAAGATGCCTTTCCATAAAGAAAACAGGAATAAAAGATTACTAGACTAACTGGTTTAATCTGGAACACACTTTCATTACAATCACTTACCAAAGAGATACAAGCAAGCCAGCAAGCTGCCTAGAACCCATGCGCTCAAAAGCTTTTCCTTCTTCCAAGGCCTTTCCTATTGTATCTAGCCACCACTGCCCCATTGCACTTCCTTCAAGACCTACCTACAGTTGTGATATAGGCAGTGAATGCATGGACAGAAAACACACATTACAGAATATAAGTTGTTCCTGAGATTTAATTTAACTTCTACTGTTGAAAGGTAGAAAAAAAGTATTGCACAGTAGCAGTAAACAATTATATTTAGTGAGAATTTAAAATAAACAAACATCATACATCATTTAACACATGATCTTGTGCATGTTAGTGACTACCTAAGATAGTCTCTCATTTGTCCATGTCATTTAAAAGAAATATATTAAAGCTTTTTATTTTCTTTTTTAATTTAATTTCTACTGTTGAAAAATAGAAAGAAAAAAAAAAACTGAATAACGAAGGTAAAATAAGATAAAAAGTGATAAAAACAATAATTTTAAAATTTTCAAAATAAATAAATAATGTAGATAAATGAGAAACTGACATGACACAACCAAGTTGTGTGATAAACATGACCATGGCTAACTCTTCTTCAGATCCATCTAAGAACCCGTTCAGTCATTTCAATGAAAACCCTGGCTTCATTCTTTCTCCCCTTCACTAGATGGTGCTAATTATCAATCTTGGAAAAGATCCATGACTAGAGAACATTTATCCAAGAACAATTTGAAATTTGTTGATGGATCAATCATTTTTCCTTGCTTTTTTGATCCAATGCCAGGTAAAAAAATGCAACGTAATGATCATTTTTGGGAATTGGGGTGAATAGAACCCTATCTCCTCAAATTCTGCAGAGCACAATATACATTGAAAATGATAGGGATTTCAGGAATGACTCAAAGTAAGTTTCTTGAAAGGTGATTAATTTCACATTTTTTATATCTAGCAAGAAATTCACTCTATAAGACTAGGAGATAGATCTGACTCCTCTTTACTGACATGAAGATTTGTGGGAAGAACATGAGTACTTACATCATATACAGTTATGCACTTGTGGTACTGTTCAAAGTTTAAAGTGTAGAATCCACGTATGTCATCTGATTTATCAAAGGGCTGAATGATCAGAGTAAAGTCACAATGAAAACACAAATCTTACTCATGGAACCTTCACCACGAATCAATAGTCTTTTCTTTGGTACTTCTTAAGAAATTGGATAAAAATCCTAACTCAATTTTATAAAACCAGCATGTAAGATAAAAATTGCTACCCACTTATATATACACTAATATGGTCATCTCACTAATCGATGTGGAATTTCCAACACATCCCTTTCATGTTGACGATTTGACATTTCGAGCATAAAATTTGCATGATTGGGCATCTGCAGGTGGTCAAATAACATCCAGTGGCAGGTGACAAATGGGTCCAACAACACTTGTTAAGATAGGCGCTATTACCAATTTAGAAAGTGAATTAGGAGTCTAACCCAACCCTACAAAACTAACTTGTAAAGTGAAAGTTGTCCCCCACTTATATACTCTTTGTTTGCTTTCTAGTCAATGTGAAGCTTGGATTTTTGCTAATACACATCTCACAACTAATAGTATGAGGCTTGGTACGCGAATAAATTGAAAGTGACCCTTTTTAATGGTCTAGGTAGGCAGGACTTAGATTTTTTCCAATACACCACCTCGTGCTCAACACTATTGTACTTGGTGCGTGTATAAATGTAGGTGATCCTTTTAGAAAATCTAGAATAAAGTCTATTACCATCTTAGAAAGTGAATTATAAGTCTAATCCAACTTTACAAAACCAGTTTTTAAGATGAGAATTACTTCCCACTTATATACACACTCTTACCTATGAGTTTAACGCCAAAAAAAATCAATTTGTAAGATGAATATTGCTTCCCATTTATATACATTAATATGCTCATTTAACTAGTTAAAGAGGGATATCATACAGTACTCAAGGTTGGGGTTGAGGCAAACACCTAGGAAAAGGATCAACCAAATACATTTCTTGTGGCCAAGGTAGATACACAATTGACACATGCTATTTCAAGGATGGATTTCCACCTTGCTTTAACTTCAGGAATTCTGATTCCACAATGTTATGTCATTGAAACAACCAATCCACAACAAGAACACAACCCTCTTCTTTCACAATTTAGGCTCCTCAACAAAGGCTAGCTCTAAATCTCATCATGACCAATATACACAATTACTATCTTTTCTCCAACATTCAAATAATGAATTGCAAAATCATACCACACTTATCAAGTCAGTGCCTCTTTGGCTGATAAGCCCTCCCCTGCCATCTTGTTTCTTAAACCCAACAAGAAGACAACTCTTCTTTTTTACTCACAACATAAATTTTGGACACTAGCGCCATAGACCACGTTTGTCCCTTACTATCAACTTTTACCACATTCACCATTATTAAACTTGTCATTATTAGATTCTAAAAAAATGTCACTATTAGATTGCCCAATGTTTACCAAATACCAAAAGATGGTTGATTCAAGTAACACATGCTTGATTCTCGTTGAACAAGATCTTGAATTTGAATCGTACATTTGGAAAAAAAAATCCCACTTGAAGAACAAACCCCACCATGTTGTAGATGTTCTTAGCCTGATTGTCTCTTGTGAAGGATATCTTGATCTAGACCAAAAAGGATTGCCCAATGGTCCTACCACATCAACAAATTACTCAAACACCATATTCTTTTATGAAACCTTCTACTCGAAAAATGTCTCCCAATTTCAAGTTTAACTTGATCTCTATTCATAAAATATCTTCCACTCGTAACTGTAAATTAACTTTTTCTCCATTTTCTTTGGCCATCTAGGACATTCATACCTTGAGGATGATTGGACATGTTGAGTTGAGGTTAAAAAAGGATTATTCATATTGACAAAGCCATCTCTACCTATCTCTTTTTCCATTCATGTAAATTCCATTTGTAAGGATTACCTTCCATTGTCATTTTTTGACCTATGGAATTTTCACCCAGGTCACGTTTCCAAGGGTGTATATCATAAGATTTGTGTAACTTTTCCATATATCAAATTTGATCAACACATTGCTTTGGTTTTAGCCATATTGTTAGACAACAATAGTTATTTTTCTCTACAAGTACCATTGAAACAACTAAACCATTTGACACAGACAAGAATAAATATGGGGTGACCTTTGGTCATCCAATCCATTCATGGACATCATCTTTTTCTCACAATTGTGGAAGATTTTACTAGCCATACTAGTTTATGTTTTTAATGGAATCTTAGAGTGGGATTTATCCTCTCATTCACAATTAGCCAATACTCAATTTAATACCAAAATTAAGATAATAAGGTCTGACAATGGTTCTAAGTTTGACGTACTATTTTTTGTATAATTTTGGTATCCATCAAACATCAGTTGTGAAAGCCCTCAACAAAACTTTGTTGTTGAGAACAAAAACATTTTAAATGTTGCAAGCTTACTGCTCTTTTAGTGCAGTTTGCCACAAGTCTTGTTGGTCATATCCAGTCAACCATGTTGTTCATCTCAAATAGATTATCATCTTCAGTTTTACAACAAAAGTCTCCCTTTGGGTTGCTACATCATGAAACCCCAACTTTGCTTGACCTTCAAAGTATTTGGTTGTTTGTCATTTGCATCAAATTTTGCTATGCATAGAACCAAGCAAGATCCAAGAGCCCAAAATCAAGCATGGCACTAAAGGATGGGCTCTGCATGACCTATGCTCTAGATCCACCTCTAGGAATTTACTTTCCTAAGAACATGTTGTAAATAGGAGTATTTTAGGAGATTTGATATTATTTTATAATCTTTCCTTATTTCCTTTATTTTTGTTTATTTTCATAGTTACCTGTTTTAGGGACAAATGTAACTATATAATAGCGTAAGAGAAGAATGTAATTACTGTGAAACAAATTAATAGGATCCTCTCTTTCAACTTGGTATCAAGCTCCAAATCTTGGGAGCTCTGTTTCTACTGCCCTAAAATCAGAAAAATCAGAGTTGATGCCACCCTCTCCATCGTCGCTGTCGTTGAAGTCAGCAATGAGCCAAAAAGAAGCCTCCATCATTGACGATCACAACATCGAGTCACATAGCTAAAAAACTCCCCATGTGCTGCCACAATTTGCCTCATTCTCTTGCGTGTGTAGGACACGTGCCCATCTCTAGTGAGACCCTCTCACTAGTGACCACCCAGATAGGTTCGCTGGGAACCCCCAGCCCATTCCAAGGGGTGGTGTGGTTTAGATCCCTCCTGTTTAATGCAGATCTGAGTTCTTTGTCTCTCTCCTGTTGTTTATTTTTTTTAGTTCATCCATGGGTGATGAAAAAGCCCCTCCTTTAGGTCCTAATGACTCACTCAATGAGTTGGGAACATATAGACTTGTTGGTTGAAACTATCTCCAACGGGCTAAATACATTCAAAGAATTCTTAAAGGTCGATCAAGATTAAGCCATATTGAGGGAGAGAGTCCAACTCCGGATGACTCAAAATTTACAATATGGGATAATGAAAACACTCTCTGGTTTCAGAAATCAGTCGGAACTAGATGTTTTACCCTAACTCAAAGGAAATGTGGGATGATATATGTGATTCATTCTCCTTAAAGAAGGATTTTGCTACCTATTATGACATTCAAACCAAAATTTTTAATACAAAATAGGGAACTCTATCTGTTTCGGAGTACCATGGGATCCTTTATGGACAGTGGATCGAGTTGGATCAGTATCAACGCTTGAAGATGTGTAAGGCATATGCCACAACCCATGTAGAGGTTATAGAGAGGGAGAATTTTCAAATTTCTTGATGGTCTGAATCTAGAATACGATCCTATCCAAGTATAGATCTTAGGGAAA